ATTAAACCTTGCTTTAGCTCAGTTTATAGCTAAGCTGGTAAATTTAGTGATACTCGAGAAATATGACCCTTCAGAATTCCAAGGTGCCATGTGTACAGCAGGTCCTAGATTAATATATAGATTGGAACTGTGTTTATCTACCAATTTTGGCCTTCCCAAATGCATATCTTGGCTTAAAATTAGTTATGTGAGAAGGTGTCACTTCAGTTCTGGAGACTCCTTCACTCCAGTCACTGGGGCATCTGATTGAGGCCACACTTCACTGCAAAAAAGAGAGATAGTCTGCCTCCAATTAAAAGCATCACAGCAGATGGTTTCACTTTGATACAATTTTCTTCTGCATGCATGCAAGTTCTCTTGCAGAACTTATGAAAAGTCAGCAAAGCAGCCTATTTGATACAACCCAGAATTGATACAGAATTGATACCACTATTTCACAGAGCACATTAAAAGAAAACTTCATCACCATTCCAAGCTTTGGGGCAGGCCGACTAAAAATACACATCAAGGCTCATTCAATAGTGCTTTTTTTTCAAGACCAAATATGCTTAGAAATGCATATTTAGAGAGCCAAGATCTTTGAAACCTGTTATTTAATAGCATAAAATGGTGAAATGTGTGCATAGAAAAAAAAATGAATAATCTGTCCAGAGAAATGACTTGATCTTATAATTTATTGTAACTGGAATCACAAAGTTCCTGCAAGAGATTCATTTTTGTTGTAAACATACATGTAGAGGTAGATAGTGTTGTCTCATTAATAATGACAATTGGTAATGCTAAAGCTTTATCAAAATTATTGGCATGTACTATAGAAAAAGATATAATCATTAATTTAGGCAGAAAGAGGGAATTTTCAATAACTTCCTTTTATGCCTTTCTTACATACTGCGTAGGTTTGCTGTTTTGCTCCAGTACATACACCAATTAATCTACAATGCTGCAGACATAAACCTTCTGTTTTCCCTTTTTTAAAAAAAGAACCACAGATATTTTTAAAACTTATCAAAATATGCATTTTCAAGGTTTTTTTTTTAATCACACCATCATCTGAAACTTGGAAGTACCAGCCAAATTGGCACAGTCTAGAAATAATTATTTTGTCAGTACAATATATCTCTGTTAGTTAAACTTCTTCAAAGCTTTTGACATATTACTGCTGGCTACCAATCCATTTGCAATCACAGTTTAGGAGTTTATTGCACTATAAGTCTCAAAATGGCTTTGGACCAGGACAGCAGAAGATCCTATCCTATGAATCTACAAGCCTTTGGATTCTTTTCTAAAAAAAGCTATTCCACATTTTTAAGAAAAAGTTGCAGATGTTTCAGGGGTTTGTAAACATATGATATTCTGTTTCTCCAATACCTAGAATTCATCCAGCAATTATTGTAAGATCACCTACTGATGTCTGCTTTTATAGTTCTGCCAAAAGTACTATTAAAGCTATTTTGTTATTAGGAATTGTTTTTATTGATTATGATGTTGTACTAAGAAATTCTTGCCCTGATTATTATATTGTTTTGTTGTTATATTGGTTTATATTGTACATCATTTTGATTTACCTGCACTGTGCTTAATTATTTTTTAAAAAAGGCAATGAAACCACTACTTCTGCTGCTATTACTCTTCCTCAGTGGACCAGCTTGAAAATTTGGCCTTTAATTATGATTTGACATGCAGTCAGCCAGATGTTTAGACCAGATTTTGGCATTTTTGTCCACATATCAAGTCTTTCCTAAGGGCCTGGGATAGGCAAATGTTATCTGATGGTATTATCATTGGCAGGATGTAAGCTGTTCCAAGTAAAGCTGCCTTTTGCAATTGACTGGTGGTGATTTTTCAATATCAATGGATTATTGTCATTGTCATTGTTATTATTATTATTATTATTATTATTATTATTATTATTTGGGGAGAGAGAGAGGGGAGAGAGAGAGAGAGAGAGAGAGAGAGAGAGAGAGAGAGAGAGAGAGAGAGAGAGAGAGAGAGAGAGAGAGAGAGATATGCTTTTGGGAAGATTGGGGGTTTTAAAGATAGATGGATGTGTATAACTATTTCGAAGAAATCAAAATTGTATTTTTTTTCCAGCGGGGTGATGGTGGAACATTTTAAGAAGCACACAATGGGAGCCAGAGGCTATATGCAGCCTGTAGACCTTGAGTTGCCAATTATTTGAGTCAGATGAACAAATAATCAAACTCAATATTAGCAACTCTCCAACTTCCTAACTGAAAAGACAACAAAGGTTACTCTTCAGCCACAGCTCCATCAGGGTGGAAGAACGTATTCTTGTATGGAAAGAAACTAATTGCAAGCTGGGGAGAATAATTACCTAGTGGGATGGAAATAAAAAGTTTGCAAAGGCCAAAGGCCAGTGGCCATTAAATCCTTTCCAGAGTGGCTTGACTTTTTAAAATATAATCCACAGGAAATTACCTATATTGTCATTCTTAGATACTGTACATGACCTTAAGTGTTTGGCTATCTTAAATGCATGTATTGTTGGAACAAACTGAACTTACTAAGCAGTCTGCATTGTGCTGTGTATGCCTGCCAAGTCCTCATCAGTATTCATCCTCAGTTGCCTCTATTTTTACATCATTTGCAAAACTTTTATTCAGCAGCAAATTGCTCCAGATGCTTGTCAAAAAGTATATGGGCATATCAGACTTATGCAAAAAGATTTGTTTCTTCTAAGCAAAGATATAATGCATCTCACTAAGAATTCAGGAAGCAGTTCATCACTCTCCTAATTTAAAAGCACGAGAGTCCCTGAATTCCAGTGTGGTCTCCCATGGCCCTTCCTGTATTGGGGGACTCTGCTGGGGGATGCTGGGAGCTGTAGCTCAGCAACATATGGGGAGAACATGTTTCACTTCCCTGCTACAGAAGGAGGATGCAAATCATATGGCTACCCCAAAATAAGAATTGGATATTTTTTTTATTTATTCAATCAGGTATGATTATTCTATGGGAGTGGCAAGAATAAAAAGGCATAGAGGTAGTCCTAAGGAAGCTTGTAAGTCATGGTGGTAATCATGTGATCAATCTGATTTTACGACCTGCAGTTGTTAAATAAACAGCACTTATCTGAACGCTTAATATCCCCCATTAGTTTAAAGTCTCCTTTGAGTCAAACTCCAGGTGACTTCATGGTGGTTTTCTTGACAATGTTTGTTTGTTATGCCATCTTTCATTCTAGGTAAGGTGGCCAACCTAGCACTCCAATCTTGCATCAGTAAAAGCAATGTAAAATATCCCAAAGATGCTTTTTCATGAAGCAACTGGACTTACTTGTTTTTCCTGTGAAGACATTTTGCTTCTCATCCAAGAAAGTCCAGTTGCCTCTTGAAAAAAAATATTTGGGACAACTATGACTTGGATGGCTGAGAATCTCCATAGACATTTAGTCATGTAAAATGGGGAGGGGTTGCCCAAAACTGGAAGTAAATGCCAGTTTTCAGCAAAAATATTGTAAATCACAGTCCTCACAGTCATCACAAGATACTGCAAAATGTCCATAAATGCAGGCTGGTTGTCGAGAGCCCAAAATGCAATTACGTGATCAATGGCCTGGCCATTGAAACTTCAGAATCAATTATTCAGTTACCTTGGGGCAGGGTTGCAGTGTAACTTCAAATGGTCACTAAGCGGCCAATTGTAAGTGAAGGCTCCTTCTGTGGGTCCTTGTAAAGACCCACCTCAGCTAACCACCCAAGAAAGCAGAACTCTTGAAACAGGCATTGTCTCAAAAGGAAACTTTTATTAGGGGTTAGTGACAGTAGGGAAGTCAAGGCGAGATCTGGGGAAAATCCCTCTTAAATGGTATAGTTAAACCAGCAATATTCCTCCTCCCACCAGAGTCATAATGCCCATCTGAAATCCAGCCAATCCACAGGTGGCACAGTTGGTGGCATCTCAAGGTCTTCTCCAGTTTCATTTCTTTGTAACCATTCCTTTCTCAAGGGGATAGAGGCAGGAGAAGAAGAGTAGAAAATGAAAGTTATCCCAAGCTAAAGTAAATATCCCCCCTCATGCTTAGTTTCTGAGCCCAGCAAAATCAGCCATGTATTGCCACTTTCTGGTGCATATCTCACTTCGCTTTTCCAATAAAAAGAATAATACTAAGGCCGAATATTAAAAGAACAGTAACCAACACTTTTTTTTGGAAAAATATAAGAAAAAAAAATAGCAAATAATCACAAAAGACAGAACTGGTCATAAATAGACAAAATAAACAAAAACCAAGAGAAATGTCAAAAAGAAATGTCCTCCGCTGTCAATGAAATTCAAATAAACTCAAATAAAATATACCTTCCCACAGAGAATTGCACATTTCAGGAAATGCCATCAAGAAAACTACTAAGTGTGCCTTTGGGAACAACAATATATGCAAAACAAGCACAGTTGCTGACCCGTGATACATTCTGACTGTCAGCCTTACAAAGTACACCATCAGGAAACATGACCAGATGAGTTAATTCTACTTTATTGTAAGGTTAGATTAAGAGAATCTTGCAAGTCTGCAAGTCTCTCTTCTCTTCCCCTCTATCGCACAAAAACTAGAAAGGGTCACTTCTGAGCCTCTTGCCCCTTCCACATTCCTGCTTAGGGCTAAGTTACCTTTTATCTGACTGTTCCCTTGGCCGTGTCTTGTTGCCTTGTCTCCAAAGATCATTCCCATACAGCAATAGCAATAGCACTTAGACTTATATATTTTCTGAGCAGTTTACAATGCCAGTATATTGCCCCCAACAATCTGAGTGCTCATTTTACCGACCTCAGAAAGATGAAGGCTGAGTCAATCTTGAGCCCCATCAGGTTCACAGAGTTAGCTGCAATACTTCATTTTAACCTCTGCGCCACTAGGACTCCTCTTATACCATTACACTTACTGTTCCTGACATAGCATAATTAAGCTCCCTTTGTAACATAGTGTTACACAGTGCCTTCTTCGTTATCAGTTTAAACTGCCTTAAATTAAGACTCAGGCTTACCATGAGGAAGATCAGAGGTCAGATGGGGAAGAAGATAGTTTCGGATCAACTCCCACTCAAAGTCATCTTCAGCACCTTGGCTATATTCACACTGATTTAGATCCCCGTCTTCTTCAAATGTGCAGCCAGCTATGAAAGAGATTCAGAGACACGTCAAGATGAAGAACAGCATCTTAACTCTGAGAAATGTACAGAAAATGCATCCTAACAGAGTACAGGAAAATGACAAAGCATGTGTAAATTATAGATATTTCTGCAAAGCGCATATAAATTGTAGATATTTCTGCACCTGAAATTTCTTTTTCACACTTTCGAAGAACCATTGCATTTAGCAAGGGGGATTTACGTTTTTGATAATTTTTGATAATCTTCCTAAAAGATATTCAAAGAGTCCATCTATAATCTCCAAGTTATTGGTTCACAGTTAACAGTGATTTAACAATCAGGAAGTTGTAAAATTTCAAAACATGTAAAGAATTTCACTAAATATTAGGAAAATTTCCTGATGGAATTACCTTTAGCAGCAGAATAAACTAATCTGAAAAAATACACACTCACCTTCCTAAGATACTTATGGCTGGATAGTCATCTTTGAAGCTATTATAATAATGGGTTTACAGCATTTGAAAGAAATTTAGCAGATGGCAATACCTGCTAAATACATAAATACATAAAGTCTTTTATTTCAATGTAAGGTATTGTAGAATATTTCTGGCGGATCTTATTTGCCTTCTAGAAGTTCTCTGGATTTTTCTATTATCTATTGGATGGGGGGGAGGCAAATTCTTTGGGTTCACATACAATATATCCTTTTCAAAGCTGTTACTAGATTATTTCTTCTTACTTTTATTATTTAGATTACTATCATTTAGAATCAGATTAATATTTTTCTTATTAACTAAGTGCTTCAAATGTGGAGTCAATAATAGGACAATTTTATTAATTTGCTAAGACTGCACAACGGGCTTTTGAAAGCTACTATTTTGTTTGACTATATGTATTTAAATATTTTCTATTGATGGTTACTATTTTGCTCATGCCTCTCACCAACCATTGCTAAAGGTTGGCCTAAAAACAATAAACTTGAAAAATGAATAGTAAAGTAAGTTGGACCCAAATATCCTAAGAAGATATATTTGAGACTTGACAGAGAAAACATCCTGCAACTTCCCAAGCTGCATTAATTTATAATTAAGTTCTTCCAGAGTGGAAAACAAATGTTATAAGTAATTCATCCTAGATAGGAATCCAATCATGGGGAAATATTATCAGGGTTTGCATTTAACACTGAAGCAGAATTCTAAAAAGGAAGGTGCAGGAACCTTTTGCCAGTAAAAATGGATGAAAAGTATTGAACGCTCACAAAATATCTCCTCTTACCTCCCTCAGCAGAACCAACATGGAGGAAGAAAAGAATACAGGCAGTCCTCAACTTACGACCACAATGGAGCCCCCAGTTTCTGCTGCTAAGTTAGATCATTGTTAAGTGAGTTTTGCCTCATTTTACAACCTTTCTTGCCAAACTTGTTAAGTGAATCACTGCAACTATTAAGTTAGCAACATGGTTCTTAAATGAATCTGGTTTCCCCATTGACTTTGCTTGTCAGAAGGGCGCAAAAGGTGATTAAAAGACCCCGTCTGAATTTTGATCATGTGACCATGGGGATGCTGCAACTGTTGTAAGCAGGAAAAACAGTCATAAGTCATTTTTTCCAGTGGTATTGTAACTTTGAAGGGTCACTAAATGAACTGTTATAAGTCGAGGATGACCTGTATGTAGATATTGCAGATATTATACAGTTGGAATGAGGCACTGCATTGCAACATCCTCTACATCAGGGATCTCCAACCCCCGGTCCATGGACCGGTACTGGGCCACGGCATGCCAGCAACCGGTCCGCACAAACAAGCAAAGCCCCATCAGCGGGATGCAGGCAGCACACAAAACCACACCCCCTCCGGTCCGCGGAAAAACCACATAACTGGTCCCTGGTGCCCAAAAGGTTGGGGACCTCTTCTCTAGATATAGAGATATCTTACATTTGTTTGCCAGATATGAGAAGCTAAGCTTCCTCATTCACCACTGGACCTCTAAGTATAGTGTTTAAATTTTCCTCTACAAAAAGGTTTCATTGATTACAGTGAAGGGATATAAAGACGTTTGCACGCCACTTTCTTAAAAAGCTGCCAAAAGAACTGCAATCACAGGGCAGTTGAGAAGCTGAATGGATAGATAGAAGAAACAAGCTAACTATAGAGTGAAAATCAAAAGGAGAGTCCATCCCTCATGGAACATCTTTCCTCTTTCCTTAATATTTGCTTTAGAAGACTCTTGGGTTTTTTTCTCCATGTAATATTCAAGAGTATGATTATCCATTATCCCTGAACAAAACTGCCTGTCCTGCTTCAAGTCAGATTTTCACCAAAGCTAGTCATGAGTTTCAGATTTGTGAAGCTCATCATAATTTGAGGAGGGATTTACAGTAGCAATAGCAACAGCAATAACACTTAGACTTATATACCGCTTCATACTGCTTTACAGCCCTCTCTAAGCAGTTTACAGAGTTAGCATATTGCCCCCAACAATCTGGGTCCTCATTTTACCGACATAAGAAGGATGGAAGGCTGAGTCAATCTTGAGCCCGTCAGAACTGAATTCCAGATTGTGGGCAGAGTTAGCCTGCGATACAGGTAGTCCTTGACTTTACAACATTCATTTAGTGGCTATTCAAAGTTACAATGGCATCGGAAAAAAGTGACTTATGGACGTTTTTCACATTGACAACCATTGTACAGCATCCTCCATGGTCATGTGATCAAAATTCAGATGATTGGCCACTGGTTCATATTGATCACTGTTGCATGATCCCCTTCTGCGACCTTCTGACAATTAAAGTCAATGGGGAAGCCAGATTCACTTAATGACCATGTTACTAACTTAATAACTGCAATGATTCACTTAACAACTGCAGCAAGAGAAGTCATAAAATGGGGCAAAACTCACTTAACAAATGTTTCACTTAGCAACATAGATTGTGGCCTCAATTGTGATTGTAACTCAAGGATTACCTTTCCAGAGGTCCCCAACCTTGGCAACTTTAAAATTTGTGGACTTCAATTCCCAGAATTCCTCAGCCAGCCAGCCTGGCTGAGGAATTCTGGGAGTTGAAGTCCACAAGTCTTAAAGTTGCCAAGATTGGAGACCCCTGATCTATACTACATTCTAACCATTGTGTCCCCAGGGCTCTCTTACATTTAACTGGCGCTTGGAATTTTTTAGAAAGGCTATAATAATTCCTAACCTAGAATATTTTCCTTAGAGAACAGAGAAGCACTCTGAGTAATCTTGATACGGAGAGCCCAAGAACAGAGGAAATGAAGTGACTTGTGTATACCAAGCAACATGCTACTAGAAAAATTCTTTACACAGGGATCCCAATAGAGTAGTTCTTGACTTACAACCATTCATTTGCCAAGTATTCAAAGTTACAACAGCATGGGAAATGGTTATTTACAACCTGTCCTCACACTTATGACCATTATAGCATCCCCACAGTCCCCTGATCAAAAATTGGGCATTTGGAACCAGCATGAATTTACAGTGGTTGTCTTAGGGTCACATTTTGGCAACCTTCCCAGCCAGTTTCCAATAAGCAAAGCCAATGTGGGAAGCCAGATTCATGTAACAACTGTGACAGCCCCATCTTGCTTAGCAATGGACACTGTGGTCATAAGTCAAGGACTACTTGTCATGTCAAAAGGTCAAAAGGTATGCACAAGTCAATTCGTAGATATCTGTCTGTAAAGCAAGGACATCAAAGTCGGTCCAAAATTAGGACCTGAATTAACAGGCACTGCCCAACCTGCTTGCATCTTGGATATCTGTGATTTTATCCAAGTAAGACAGGAGAACAAGGAATTAACAGTGGCAGCCAAAAACATCAATGCATTTCTTCTGAGATGTATACAAGACCAATGACAAATAGCAGCAAGTATCCCGGTTTCAAGCTTTTGCTGTTTCAAAGATGGGAGTGATTTAAAAGAAATAATCTCTTCCAATTTTTTTTCTAAACGCAACATAAAACGGCAGGTGGAGGTTGCAAAATGCATGCAAAATGAGGCTTCCTATCAAGAACGATGAAAGGAAGAGCAAAGCAAAAAGAAGAAGAAGAAGAAGAAGAAGAAGAAGAAGAAGAAGAAGAAGAAGAAGAAGAAGAAGAAGAAGAAGAAGAAGAAGAAGAAGAAGAAGAAGAAGAAGAAGAAGAAGAAGAAGAAGAAGAAGAAGAAGAAGAAGAAGAAGAAGAAGAAGAAGAAGAAGAAGAAGAAGAAGAAGAAGAAGAAGAAGAAGAAGAAGAGACGGTATGAAAATTCCATAAGCTCCAGGAAAGCTTCAAAAATTCTGGAGCTCCTGCAGTTTTCCTCATGGACCATCAATCACCAGTGGAAATGACAAAGAATGTCTCATGGTTGGGATCTTTAATAGGAGATGGCCACTGATGGCAATGAAAGAACAACTGACCTTAAGTAGCGAACTAGCAAAGATTCAACAAAATGAAATGGAGGAATATTCTAATCCTGCCATATAGAGCCAAATTTTAAAAAAGCCACTGCAATTGTTTCAGAATGAATGCAAAACCAACAGATAAACAGATCCTTTCTCTTGGTTATTAACCCTGAATCAAAAAAAAAGAAGAAGTCCAGAACGGCCCCCACAAATGTGTTTAATTCATGTTTCCTTTTTATCTTGAAATTAACAGTATCATTCAACTGCATCACCTACCATGAATGAAAGATTTAACATAAAAATTATGACACCAACTTTCTTTTGGCTTTTTTAGCAAGACAGTTGAGCTTATACAGAGAGTCCACAACTTACAACCACAACTGAGCTCAAAATTTCTGTTGCCAAGTGAAATATTTGTTAAGTGAATTTTGCCCCATTTTACAATTTTTGTTGCCTCAGGTGTTAAGTGAATCACTGCAGTTGTTAAGTTAGTAACACAGTTGTTAAATGAATCAGGCTTCCCCATGGACTTTGCCTGTCAGAAGGTCGCAAAAGGGGATCACATGATTCCGGGACACTGCAACCATCACAAATATGAGGCAGTTACCAAGTGTCCAAATTTTGATCGTGAGATTATGGGGATGCTGCAGTGGTCGTAAGTGAAGTGAAGATGTTTTGCTTCTCATCCAAGAAGCTTCTTCAGTAGAAAAGTCCAGTTGCCTCTTGAAAAAGCACCTTTGGGACAACCATGACCTGGATGACTGAGAATCTCCATAGATTTTTCTCAGTGCTGTTGAACAGTCACTAAATGAACTGTTGTTAAATCAAGGACTACCTGCACTACATATCACCCAAGCTAACATATCCAAAGTTTGCTAGGACAAACATCTTAAATAGCAGGCTCTGATCTGAGTCAGTCACAGGGACCAGAGGTTTTGTTTTCTGAGCTTTTGGACTTGAGCCTGGAGCATCCTCAGGGAATTTCTCTCTTGCCTTTCTAACCCTTCTCTCTGAAGATGGGCTCTAGCACAAATCCTGGTGACCGACCTGGACTGGATCCTGCAACATTATTCTGGGACACGTCTAAGTGCCTTCATTCATCTTAAACAGCCTTCCTCATCTGTGCTACTGTCCAGAAAAGTAGACTTCAAAGGCCTCGAATTCTTTTAGCAAAAGCATGGCGTCAGCTGAAAATTCTGAGCTTTTAAATCCACCCACTTGCAGAACAGAGGAAGTTGGTCTAGAGCAGGGGTAGGCAACCTTGGCTCTTTTATGACTCGTGGACTTCAACTCCCAGAATTCCTCAGCCAGCCATGCTGGCTAAGGAATTCTGGGAGTTGAAGTCCACGAGTCATAAAAGAGCCAAGGTTGCCTACCCCTGCTCTAGAGAAACAATGTAAACTGGAATAAGTAAATTAAGATGTTTCTTTGTCCTCAAATCCCTTTCCCCCCCCTTTTTTTTGTCTCTCCTTGCATTTTACGCTTCTCAGAAGGATTGGAGGACAAAGCATTAAGTGTGAAATCCTGTGTATGCCCGTGATTTTTCACAGTTATGACAGGAAAATAGGAGTGAATAAATTGAGAAATGCAACTCAGCAAGACCTCCTGATACACTCACAAGCCATACAATCCATGGAAATAAAGGGAGAATTTCAGTTCCTAAGTTTATTCAGACGGAAACTTCACATTCCAGTGAGAGAGAAGTTCCCTGAGGATGGGCTTCAACACGAGTCTGAAAGCTCGGAAGACTAAACCAGTGGTGGGATTCAAATATGTGAACAACCGGTTTTCTGTATGGATGCCGCTTCCGGAAGTCCATTCTGGGTCTGGGTAACAACTATTAGCTACCGGTTCTGCCAAAGTGGTGCGAACCGGCTGAATCCCACCACTGGACTAAACCTCCAGTCTCAGTGACTAACCTAGATTGGATCCTGCAACATTATCCTGGGACACGAATATAGGTAGTCCTTGACTTACAACAGTACATTTAGTGTCCGTACAAAGTTACAACAGCACTGAAAAAAGTGACTTATGACTGTTTTTCACACTTATGACCGATGCAGCATCCCCATGGCCACATGATTAAAATTTGGATGCTTGGCAACAGGCTCCTATTTATGTCACTTGCCACGTCCCGGGGTCATGTGATCCCCTTTTGCAACCTTCTGACAAGCAAAGTCAATGGGGAAGCTGGATCCACTTAACAACCGTGTTACTAACATAACAACCATAGTGATTCACTTAACACCTCTGGCAAGATAGGTTGTAAAATGGGGCAAAACGTACTTCACTGTCTTGCTTAGTAATGGAAATTTTGGGCTCAATTGTGGTAGTAAATCGAGGACTTCATTCGTGAGACAGAAATTTCCCTGCCATCTGGCTAAAGCAAATCCCAAACTCACAAGGTTTGTGTGTGAAAACAAAGTAAGTGTGAAGATCTTAGTACAGAAATATTATTTTTCGGTGTAGTTTACGAAACTTAACAAACTTTTCCAAGTGTTTATTCTGTTGAAGGATCAAAACTGTCAAGAAATGGCTGGCATTCAAATTCAGGCTATCAAAAGATTTTTATTCTTAGCAAAAAAGAAAAAAGAAAAAGAAACAGTTTTAGATTAAGGTTTAAAATATTAGAAAATCATTCTACACAGCATTCTTTACTTTCAAAGCAATCCTAGCATTAACAATAGAGTATGAGCACTAAAATATGTTGGATTTATTGTTCAAAATTTCTTCTCAACGTAAGACCTTCTCAATAAATGAAGAAGATAACAAAAGATTGTTTTCTTTGGAGTTTTGCCAATCAAACAATGCCCAGCTTAGCGATCCTTCCGTGATTCTATTTTGTTTCTGATTGAGTTTAAAGTTGCTGGAGAACTTGATGATGCACAGTTTTGCAATGAAAAAAAAAGTCAGGGTGGAAGAAAACACAAGTGAAATGGTCTATTAAAGTGAATCGGTCTATTAATAAAATGTTTGCAGCAGCTTTGAGTATTATTATTAAGAAAAAAAATATGACAGGATAATTAATGCCTTTATTAAAATCAACAAAAAGCTACAAAAAGGCAACAACTTTTATACAACTGCATTTTTCAGACTGAATGTTATGTTGTTCAAAAATAGATAGAAAAAAATTTGGATAAATTAATCCAGGTATGTAATCATGGTGGCATGATTTCAGAAAGGGAGAAAACAGAACTGTGAAATTTAAAAGATGTGTGCTCTTTTTATGGGATGGCAACCGTGAAAGAGATCTAGGCCTAAGTCATTCTTTTAATTAATTTCAAATTATGCATTCTTATTTATTGTCTTAATATTTTAATGTTTATAATGCTTTATATGTTATAAGCTGCCCAGTGTCGCATGACAGGGAGATGGGCAGCATATAAATTTAATTAATAAATTAAAATAAATTAAAATTTTGCATCAAAATCTGCCTTGCAATGTGATTTTTGCAGATTTTTTCCCCTGTAAAAAACAATCTGTTTTCCTACTTTTCTTCCTTATACAATTCTTCTTTAAGACTTAATGGTAATGTGTAAAATCAGAGAGAATAATTGCGTGAGAAAGGGGCGTTGTCTTACCTGAATGCCTTTTCTCAGCAGGATGGTGTAGAGTCCACTGATTGGGTTATTTCAGCCTTCCTGCTCAGACTAAGACAAAAAAACTTTGCCACGCCTCCCTCTGGGTGTGTCTTCCCCAGTTTTTGTCGAGCCGAAGTATCCAGACGCAAGGCTCCAAACAAAAAAAGATAAAAGACACATGCCTAGACTAATGATAAACAGGGGGTGTGTGGACTCTACACCATCCTGCTGAGAAAAGGCGTTCAGGTAAGACAACGCCCCTTTCTCCAGCAGAATGGGTGTAGAGTCCACTGATTGGGACATACCAAAGCCGTTCATGTCCCTGAAGGGAGGGAAGTCTAGGCCTGTGCCCCATGAGAAGTAACAACTTGCTGCAGAACCCGCCTGCCAAAAGCCGCATCTGCTGCAGCAAATCTGTCAATCCTATAATGTTTAATGAAGGAAGAGGGGGACGACCAAGTCGCCGCCCTGCAAATCTCCTCAAGCGAAGCCTGGGTAGACCAGGCCGCAGAGACCGCAGCACTGCGCATAGAGTGGGCCGTGATTTGAGAAGGGACTGGAAGGGACTGCGAAACGTAAGCCCTCGTGATACAGGCTCTGATCCACCATCCAATGGTGGAAGAAGAAACCTTCCTCCCCAGCGTAGATGGCTGGAAAGAGACGAATAAGGCCTCTGACTTCCTGAAGGCCGAGGTTCATTTAAGATAGTGGCGCAGGGCCCTGCGCACGTCCAACGTATGCCACCCTCTCTCCAGATGATGGGAAGGGTTAGGACAGAAGTTAGGGAGTACCAGGTCCTGGGATCGATGAAACCCTGTATTGACCTTAGGAATGAATGCAGGATCCAACCAGAGGACCACCCTGTCCTCGTGGAATGTGCAGAGATCCCTCCTGACTGATAGAGCGGCTAATTCTGAAATTCGCCTGGCCAACGTAATGGCCACTAAAAAGGCCACCTTCAAGGTGAGAAAGTGTAGGGAACACGAACTTAGCAGTTCGAATGGAGAAGTTAACGCCTGCAGTACCTTGGGCAAATCCCAGGATGGGTAACGATGGACCGTAGGTGGGCCAGTGTTAGCAGCACCCTTAATGAAGGCACCGACCGCTGGGTGGTGAGACAGGGAATCTTGGTTGTCACAAGTGAGAACCGTCGATAATGCCACCACCTGCCTGCGTATGGTGCTGGCCGACAGACCCCTATTTAATCCCTCAAGCAAATATTCTAATATATTTGGGATAGTGACCGAGAGCGGCGAGAGGTGCTGTCGCCTACACCAGGAGCAGAAGTTTCTCCAAGTGGCATCGTAGATTCTGTTGGTTGATGGGCGCCTTGAGGCCTGGATAACCGAGATTATCCCGGAGGAATAGGACTGTCTAGTTAGGCCTTCCCGCTCAAGTGCCAAGCGGCTAGTTGGAGCCACTGCGGATCTGGATGCTGGAGATTCCCCTGGCTGAGAGCTACTCGGTCTGGGGGGATTCTCCACGGTGGTGAGAGCGACAGGTCCACCAGGTCTGCAAACCACGGCCGACGTGGCCAAAATGGAGCAATTAAGATTAGCTCTGCTCGTTCTTGTAGGAGCTTGCGAATAGTTGCTTGGAGCAACGGAAGAGGGGGAAAAGCATAAAACACGCCCTTCGGCCATACGCTCCGGAGGGCATCCGTCCCCTCCGCCCCCCTTGACGGGAATCTGGAAAAGAACCTGAGGAGCTGTGCATTAGTCGGGGAGGCGAAGAGATCCAGGACAGGTTGGCCGAACCTGTGAGCTACCTTCCTGAACAAGTGTGGATCCAGTTTCCACTCCGAATGATCCACGGTGGCCCTGCTCAGGGAGTCTGCCTGTTGATTGTCCTCCCCCGAAATGTGTTCCGCTCTGATGGAGCTCAGAGTGGACTCTGCCCAAAGTCCCAATGCCATGGCTTCCTGCATGAGAGACCAAGAGTGGGTCCCTCCTTGTTTGTTTATGTGAGCCTTGGCCGTAATGTTGTCTGTCAGGATCAGCACATGTTTCCCAGCCACAAGGGAGGAAAACTTCCGGAGGGCCAGGTGAATGGCCCTGAGCTCCAGCCAATTGATGTTGTGGGCCAGGTCTGACCTGGACCACCGACCCTGTGCCAAGTGGTTGCGAAGATGTGCCCCCCAACCGAACAGACTGGTGTCTGTGGTCAGGGTGGTCCTGATCGGTTCCTTGAAAACAGTGCCCTTGGTTAAAGTGGATGAGGTCCACCATAAGAGTGAAGCCAGGGTAAGATGGGGAACCCTGACCCTCCTTTTGGAGGCACTGATGTTGCGTCTCTGAAAGGGAAGGAGGAACCATTGGAGACTCCTGGAGTGAAGCCTGGACCACGGAACGATGCCCAAGCAAGAGACCATCTTCCCCAGGAGTTGGGAGAGTTACACCAGAGGCACCCTCTTTTCCCTGCGGATCTGCTGGGCTAGCATCCGAATGCTGACCTGGCGCTCCGGAGAGAGATAGACTTCGCAAAGATTTGAGTCTATCAGCGCTCCCAGATGGATTAGACGTCTTGTGGGTGTCGTGTGACTCTTTTTGAAATTCACGGAAAAACTGTGATCCTGAAGAGTCTGTATTGTGATTTCCAGGTCTGACTGGGCTGAATGGAAGGACCTGGACTGTACGAGTATGTCGTCCAGGTAGCACTGTACACGCACGGGCCTCATCCTTAGATGAGCCGCCAGCACGGCCAAAATCTTTGTGAAGACCCTGGGAGCCGACGAGAGACCAAAGGGAAGGGCCCAATACTGGTAATGCCGGTGCGCGTAGGAGAACCGCAGGAACCTGCGGTGTTCCTGGAGGATCGGAATGTGGGGGTAAGCCTCCGTCAGGTCGATAGAGGAGAGGAAGTCCCCTTTCCTGATGCTTGCCAAGATAGATTTTAGGGTCTGCATCTTGAACTTCCTGTAAATTAGGAAGTAATTTAGACCCTTCAGGTCCAGTATCGCCCTCCATCCTCCTGAGGCCTTGGGGACCACAAACAGGATGGAATAAAACCCCACTCCTATCTGGTCTTGAGGAACCCTTTCTATGGCCCTGATGTCCAATAAGTGGGCGATGGCTGTCGAAACTAGATGAGCTTTTGAAGAATTGTTTGAAATCGGGCACTGTATGAAATGATCTGGGGGAAAAGATCGAAACTCTAGGGAGAGACTGTGTCTTATGGTCTCTCTGACCCAAGCGTCCATAGTAGTGCCCTCCCAGATATTGTAAAACAGTGCCAGCCGACCCCCAATGGGGTAATCCTCCTTGGCGTCACTTGGACCGCCTGTATGGTCTGCCGCCCGAGCCCCTGAAGGGATGCCTGTTGTGGGACTGGCCCCTGGCTCCACTACCCTGGCGGTCCTGTTGGCGATCCTGCCTAGAAAGATAGGACCGTGAGCCTCTGGGCCAATCCCAGGACTGCCCTGCCCGAAAGGGCTGTCTCCATTCCCAAGAACCACCGGGTCAAAAAGACGACCTACGGTAACCTAGTTGAGGTCGCCTATCCAGGTTTTTTGGATGGGTGAGCCAAGACTTTGCGCTTGTCCTTGCCCTCAATTACATGAGGGTCTATCACAGCACCAAATAAGTGCGTTCCACTGGACCTGGAAGTTGAGAGACGCCACTTTGCTTTTAAGTCCGTTCGCCACTGCTTCAACCAGAGAAGCCTGCGTGACGCTACTATGGCAGCAACCGATCAGGCCGAGCATCTGGCCGAATACAGAGATGCATCCGCAATGTACTCAGAAGCTGCTACTATCTTGCCTAGTGTTTGGTGCGCTCTGACCTGATCTGGTGGGATGAGAGCCTGGAGATCCTGCAGCCACATAATCGCTAAACGCACAAAGAAGGAGGATGAGGTTGCCGCCCTTATTGCCCAAGCCGAAGATTGGTGAGCCCTGCGACATGAGAATTCGAACTTTTTATCCTCCGCCTTTAAGAATTCAGCCATGTCCCCAGGAACAGCGGTGTTGGAGAACAGAGAAGCCAGAGGGGCGTCCACAGTTGGAACTTCTAAAAGAGAGGCAAAGGAAGAGGCAACATTATAAAGTTTCTTATCCAAACTACTCGGAGAGGGAGTGGAGGCTAGGGATGACCACTGCTTTTCTACCGTAGTCCTGAAGACTGACGAACATGGAATCTGAGGCTCCTCCCTGACCTTTTCAGCAAACAGGGGGTTGGCCTCCTGGTTCGAGGAGGTAGATGGTGCCTCCTCCTGAGCTGAAGTAAGCTTTACTGTGGCTATGGCTTTTAAGAGAAGAGACCGAAATATGGAAGGGTCGAATAGACCCGAGGATGTCACCTGCTCAGGTGTAGGGTCCTCATCCTCCGACAATATAGTGTCTGCTACTTCCAGGTCGATTGATCCTCCCTCCCCCAATTGTGAGGAGGTCTCTAAAACATCAGAGCGAGGCCCCGTATCATGTGCCTCCTGGGGCGGGGGAGCGGGCGGGGGAGGGGGGATGTGACTGTGTTTGGTCCCGGCCAGCGGATGCCATAAATTGTTTGAATGCATGATGCATAAAGGCCTGGAATTGGCTCTGGGACCATGTTTCCTCTTGATCTCTGGAGCTGGCCCCAACCCCAGTTGGGGCACATCTGCTCTCTGGTGTTTGGTACGACGAAGAAGAGGAGGAGGAATGATGAGGACCAACCTGCTCAGTTCCCCCCTGAGGAGACCAAGATCATGGGGCATCCTGTGATGATTCAAATTGAGGCTCTAGCGAATGGGTGTCGAGTGGGGCGGGGGAAACCAATTCAACCCCACTGGGCCTCAGCCTCTGTGCCTTGGAGAATTCTCTTTCCAGAGCTAGGTGTCTCCTCGAGGCCTCTCGCTTGGCTGTCTTAGAAATTTCCTTTGTAGTCAAATGTTTGGTTTTAGCTTTTTTCTTTTTTCCCCCCACTTCTGATTCCTCCGATCTGCATTTTGTTTGTGCGGGGGGGACACTGGTCTGAGTTGCCTGGGGCGAGGAACTGTCTGCCATTGTAGTCTAGGTACTCCTGGACAGTTGTACCTAGAGGTGGGGGGAAACAAATACGCAGATCACGCAGTCAGAGATGGAAAACTGATCCTCACTCTGAACAGTTAACAATGGCAAGAACAGCCAGACAGTGTTCTAATACTGCCTGTTCAGGCCTTGTGACTAAAGGTCACTGACTAACTGAAACAGGTGGTCAAACAAATATCTCTTTGCACGTCTCCCTTAGATCTGAAACTCAAAGATGAACACCTTGAGCTGCACAATGCAGACAAGTTCCAATCTTGGAACAGCACTCACGAAGCTCACAGCACTCGCAGTGAATATTAGAAAAATACTTTTCCCCCTGAACGGGCCTGCTCACAGGCCAAGGCACTCAGGCAATAGGATGATCCTCAGTGAAAACAATTAGGCCTTCAAAATGGCGTCTGCCACGTGGGCCTTATAAACAACCCCCCGCGGGTAATAAAGATGATGGAAAATGAGTCAAAGTAAGGACTTCACAATGGCTTCCGCCACGTAGCCTTGTAGACAATTCCCCCGCAAGTACTGGAGCAATAAGTAAGAATAGGCCTCAATATGGCATCAGCCATGTGGGCCTGCAAAAAGGCGCCCTTCGCTGAGACCATGCGGTCAAAATGGCGGCCGTGAGTACTTAGCGAAGCCAATTAATTGCGAGGGAAAATTGTGGAAGCCTTGGGAGAGGCAGAGGCTCTGGGGCAAACCAAGAAAGGGAAAGAACTTCTGACTCCCCCCCCCTGCTCCCAAGCACTCGCGGTTAGTAGCGCAGCAGCCACTGCGATCCAGAGACTGGCTGCAGGCTGAAAAGCTCCCTCACGATCACGATGCGATGAATCAAGCTCCGGAGGTCTCCTGCCGAAAGCTGATCTCCGCTGCCCGGCTAAACAGCGGAATCGCGGAGGCTTGCTGTTTGTCGGGAAACCTCCCCCGAACGGAGCCTGCAGCCTCCCACTTCCAAGCCCCGAGGGGCAGCAGGAATACAAGGACAGAATCCTTATCTCCTCAGGGAATCCCCAGAATGGTAAATTTGGAAAGGAAAAGCCAATTAGTCCAAATAAAATTTTACAGAATCAAATTTAAGTAAAGCCAATCAATGTAAAAGAGTCTAAACTAGCCTAGCTAAGGAGCCTTAAAAAACAGCGTCTTGCTGAGCTCGAGACTAAGACAAAAACTGGGGAAGACACACCCAGAGGGAGGCGTGGCAAAGTTTTTTTGTCTTAGTCTGAGCAGGAAGGCTGAAATAACCCAATCAGTGGACTCTACACCCATTCTGCTGGAGAATATATGGAACATTCAGACAAATCCCTTGACCATCATATCACTACCCAAATAGAAAAACACCACCACCCATTCAGTCCTGTGATTTTCACCAAAATTTAAAAGCAGATTCTCTTCCATCACCAACCATACAACTGGTGTACAGCAACCAAACAGGACAGGTATAGACTTCAAAGGATAATTAGGACTGCAGAAAAAGTAATTACAATCAGCCTGCCTTCCATAGAGGACTTGTATATTGCATGGGTCAGAAAGAGGGCTGCGAAAATATCTACCAACCCCTCACATCCTGGACCTACCTTCTCCCCTCGGGATGCCACTACAGGGCATTGCATGCCAAAAGAACTGGACACCAGGACAGTTTTTCCCTTGTACCATCACTCTGCTAATTCCCACAGTACTATCTTTATGCCTAAGCATATTTACCCATGACTGTATTACTAGTATCTTTCTCATCTTTTCTTTTACCTTCTACTATTGATATCTTATAATTATATAGACTTTGTTGTTTGTATGTACACTGATAGCTTCTGCACCGGAGACAAATTTCTTATGTGTCCAATCACACTTGGCCAATAAAGAATATTCTATTCTATATTCTTCTACTCAGATTGAAAATTGACAGGAAAAAAAATGCAACAGTTCTTTGGAGCACCAGCTAAGTTCAAAACACTGCAGAAATTTACGTTCAGCTCTCCAAGCAAGCCAGTTTCATAGTAAGCATCAGACAAATCCATATTTGCAATGGCCCAGGCAGACACTGCTGGTGTCTAAGAGTTGCAGTGTTTACTCCCTCTTTCTAATACTTAGAAATGAAGGACCCCTCTACTATTACTATGCCTTGCCTCCTTCAGCAGTTTCAGCAACCATTTTCAAGGCACCAGGCATCGCTGCCTAAAAGAATGGAAAGAAATCAGTGCTATGGAAGCAAATTCACATTTTCCCTATAGGAGGTCCATCACGCTAGACATTGTTAAGACATTAGAAATCAAAACAACAGTAAGCACAGCAAAACGATTGGGATGGGGATGGGGATGGGAGCGTTCAAGAACAGCAGGACTGTGACGGAACAGCCCTCATCCATCAAAAGCACAGGAGAAGAAAATATCTTCAGTCATGGATTGTAAATGTCATGCAAATCCAAACCGCATTTGGATGGCCTGCCTAAGCACACTCGCCGAACAGTAACTTCTGTTGAAGGATGTTGATTCAACAATGTTGAAGAACATTGTGAACACAATGAATCACTCTGTCATCTGCATATCTCTAGATACCCTACATTTTTTTTCTGTTCATTGGAGTCACTGTATTAGTGACAAAGGACTGATTAACCCAATATGCCAAGACTACCTATTTATATATTTATTTATTTGTATTTATTCACTTTTATTATTTTTACAAGCTACTCAAGGCAGCAAACATATCCAACACACCTTCCTTCTCCTATTTTCCCCACAACAACCCAGTGAGGTAAATTGGGCTGAGATTGGTCCAAAGTCACTCAGCCAGCTTTCATAGCTAAGGTGGGACTTGAACTCACAGTCTCCCACTTTCTAGCTTGATGCCTTAACCATTAGGCCAAACTATATAAACAAAATATATAAAGAAAAATGATATGGTTTATTTGGTTTTGGGTTAGCATGTTGAATGAAGGAGTTCTACTGTGGTATAGATACCAAGCTTTATGACTTAGTGGATTGGTTGAACTTAGACTCTTCACCATTCACAGTTGAGAAATTATTATTATTATTATTATTATTATTATTATTATTATTATTATTATTATTATTATTATTATTATTATTATTATTATTATATTTATATCCCGCCCTTCTCCTTGCGGACTCAGGGCGGCTAACAACCAGATAAAACAACTACAAAATACCAAATACTACAGTTAAAACATAATTAAAAGACAAATATTAACAGTTGGCCTAAGTAATTTAAAAATATTTTAAAACCCCTGCTAAAAATTTCCCCTAGGCCAGTCCAGCAAGCTGAAATAACCATGTCTTAAGGGCGCGGCGGAAGGAAGGGAGATCAGGGATCACCCTGATCTCTGGGGGTAGTTCATTCCAGAGGGTGGGAGCTCCCACCGAGAAGGCCCTCCCCCTTGGGGTCGCCAGCTGGCACTGTCTGGCCGACGGCACCCTGAGGAGACCCACTCTGTGGGAGCGTACAGGCCGATGGGAGGTAATCTGCGGCAGGAGGCGGTCTCGAAGATATCCAGGTCCGATGCCATGGAGCGCTTTAAAGATGATGGTCAGCACCTTGAAGCGCACCCGGAAAGCCACCGGCAGCCAGTGCAGCTCGCGAAGCAGCGGTGTTACATGGGAGCGACGAGTCCCTCCCAACACCGCCCGCGCGGCCGCATTTTGGACTAACTGGAGCCTCCGGGTGCTCCTCAAGGGGAGCCCCATGTAGAGAGCGTTGCAGTAGTCCAGGCGGGAGGTGACAAGGGCATGGGTGACTGTGCGCAAGGCGTCCCGGTCCAGAAAAGGTCGCAACTGGTGGA